GTGAGGGGACACTGGGGACAGGGGACACTGACCGTCACCATGAGGGTGAGGGGACATTGGGGACACTGGGGACGTTGGGGACACTGACTGTCACCATGAAGGTGAGGGGACACTGGGGACACTGGGGACAGGGGACACTGACCATCACCATGAGGGTGAGGGGACACTGGGGACAGGGGACACTGACTGTCACCATGAAGGTGAGGGGACACTGGGGACAGGGGACACTGACTGTCACCATGAAGGTGAGGGGACACTGGGGACATTGGGGACACTGACCATCACCATGAGGGCGAGGGGACACTTGGGACAGGGGACACTGACCGTCACCATGAGGGCGAGGGGACACTTGGGACAGGGGACACTGTCACCATGAAGGTGAGGGGACACTGGGGACACTGCTGACAGGGGACACTGACCATCACCATGAGGGTGAGGGGACACTGGGGACATTGGGTACACTGGGACATTTGGGACACTGACCATCACCATGCATGTGAGGGGACACTGGGGACATTGGGGACACTGGGACCATTTGGGGGCGTCCCCAGACGCGGCTCAGCCCCAGCTGCGCTGCTGACAGGAGCGGGGAGGGGACACACAGGAATTTGGGGTGCCACAACGGGGCGGGTCACAGAGATTTGAGGCTGGGGGCGCTGTCTGCGGTCGGTGCCACCCCCCGTGACGCGCCGTGGGGACACAGCCGGTGTCCCAGCCCACGCAGGTGACGCTGATCACCACGCCCAGCGGCGTGGAGGCCCAGCCCGTCCACGACCTCCCCGTCTCCATCCTGGCGTCCCCCACGGCCGAAGGTCCCCCCGCGGCCACCTCGGGGGGCGGCGGCCTGGCCGAGCCCCCCGCCGCCGAGGCCACGCCGGGCACCGTCACCCTGGTGTGCTCCAACCCCCCCTGCGAGACCCACGAGACCGGGACCACCAACACGGCCACCACCAGCCTGGTGGCCAACGTGGGGACGGGGGGGGCACAGCTGCAGCTGCTCTGCGAGGACGCGGGCGGGGGGACGGCGGTGCCGGCGCCGCCCCGGGCCTGCTCCAACCCCCCCTGCGAGACCCACGAGACGGGGACCACCAACACCCCCACGGCGGCGGGGACGACGGGGACGGCGCGCCTGGGGACGCCCGGGGCGCCGCCGTGCCCCACGCAGCAGACGGCGGCCACGGGCACGACGATGACGGCGCGGTTGTGTCCCCCCGAGGGCGGCGGTGGCGGTGGTGGCGGCGCTGTCACCTCGTGCCAAACGCAGGAGGCGACCCCGTGCCAAACGTCCTGGGGGCAGCCTGAGGTGGGGACGGCCACCGGGGCGGTCACTGCGGCCACCACGGCGAGCTGTGAGACCCCCGCGGGGACACGGCTGTGTGCCAACCCACCCTGCGAGACCCACGAGACCGGGACAACCAACACGGTGACGGTGACAGGGTCACAGCTCTGCTCCAAC